TCCGACCACTCTAATGTGTCACTTCGAAGTCTATTGTTATTCTAACTCTATTAGTTAAAACCAACCACCATTCCTTCTCGGGTTTTTAGAGCAGGCCCTGTCTCCGGTCCCCCCCAACGCGTGCATGGGATCCACTCTCTACGCTATGGGTGATCGGCAGGTGCTCTCTAGTTTGACTTGTGTGTTTCTACGTGTGCACAAGCTACGCACCTCACACTCCGACCTCAAGTCAAACCAGGGCCGTACAAACCTTTCAGGATGATGTGTCGACTAAACTGGTACAACTAAATAGAACGCCAACACGTTCTAACTTAGTTACACCAACATGATATCCAAGCTTAAACATGTTTTCTACAAAACAAACAAGCTTATGTTGATATACAGTTACGTTATTACAAGCTTGCCTGAAAAGGTCCAAGTTTATAATAACACAACTACATCTTCTTCTACAGCTATAGCCTACACTATTGGCTGGTCGGGGCACGCGGCGCCTGCTGCTCGCTGGGCCTAACATCATGCTCGGGTCTCGGGGACTCTAGCATTGATTGAGCTGAAGAAGATGGCCCCACCGATGCCTGGCTGGACGAGACCGTAGGCTTCGCCGGTTGGCTTGAAGATGATGGCGCTCCCAGCTGACTTGTTGACGGCTTTCCTTATACGGGTGGTGTCGCACCTCCACACAGGTTAATATCACCAATTATTTTCGCCGACAAGTCTAGCTGGGTCATCCGTAGCTCCTCGGCCTTGTCTGGATCTACCTCCTTCGGGTATCCAACCTCCAGGCGCTTGAGAACGATCAGGGGGTAGTGAGCACGTACCATGCTTAGTACATGTGTGCCTGCGTACTCTCTCGCCTCCTTCATGAACTCATGGAACCATCCCCATGCCCTTTGGCATCTCGGGGACTGCACCGACTACTCTCCGACCATTGCTCGGGGACTGCTCTCCTCGGCTACATGTGATTTGTACTCACATACAGTTGAGAGGCATTTATTTTTTTTCTCACTTAGACCTTGCTACAAGGCTGATACCTCGCCTTCCAGCAAGCTCGGGGACTACATCGGTACGATGCATCTGTCAGTGCAGCTCGTATCGCCTGTACGACGATTGGATTCTCAACTTAACTGGGAATTCTTTTTAGACCCTGGCACCACGTGCCTACATCACCTACTACCAGGCTTGGGGACTAAGTGGGCACACTTCACCTTGCGGTGAATGTGCTTATTTTATCGACCCCTACGCTCTGACTGTTGGCCATAACTACTCCTGTACAGAGGTCACTTACATTTCTTTTTAGAAATACAAGTGGGCACACTTGATCAGGAAAGAAATCTTTTTCTTTTTTCTTTAGAGCACCATGCATTCTTTGGACAACTAGAATCTTCGGCTATAATCGTGGTCTACTGCTCTCTGTGCTGACCAGAATACTGGCACATTTGCTTGGTCAATGTTTCAACCAGTTGGAGATGACATGAAGACAGACCGCATTAGCATAAGGAGATCAAACGGCGTGTCGCAACATAATACATGGTGCTCGGGGACTAGCTGTGGGGGTATTAACCCCTATACCCTTACGGCTAAGTTTGGGCCGGTCCGGACCAGGGGGTCCGGCCCACCAGAAGACGACGCGCAGCCCAGCCGATCTGCTCGGAGTCCCGCGCAAGGAATCAAGGCAGACTTGGAGATCAAGCAAGATCCTGGTCGGTTAGAATAGGAATCCTTATCTGGCCACCTATGGCAATTGTAACCGGTTGGGATTAGTTTCCAGATCTGTAACCCCGCCCCCCAGACTATATAAGGCGGGCAGGGGACCCCTCTTAGAAATCAATCCATTTACATACAGCAATACAATCAGACGCAGGACGTACGTATTACGCCCTCACGGTGGCCGAACCTGGATAAAACCTCGTGTCTGTCTTGCATCACCATCTCATTCGTAGCTTGCGCACCTGTCTGCCGATAATCTACTACCTTGGGCATACCCCTAGGTAGACTGCCGACCATATTTCGTCGACACACCCCTACCTGACGCACCAACTATCGACTAAAGATGCTCGGCAGTCCACCAAGGGGGCTACTCGTGATGGTAGATTGATCGAAGAGGTGTGCGTGAATAGGAGCAAGATGGTGACAAGACACAAGATTTATATAGGTTCAGGCTGTCAGCTTGACGTAATACCCTAATACTATGTCCCATCGGTTTGTATTGGCTATCGTATATGATTGAATGTGTTTTGAGGGGGTCCCCTACCCGCCTTATATAGCCTAGGTGTAGGGTTACATGCCTATCAGGTCTAAGTCTAATCGGGTAACAGATATTCTTTACATGGAATCATACATTCGGCATATCCTAACTAATTCTTTGCGATCTTTAGGATGTTGCCGAGATGCCTTGTGACGTGCGTCGAGCAGTGTCGTGCACCGCAAGCCTTCATTTTATGGGCTGGACCGTCCCTACTGGTGCGGCTCATGTGCATCGCCGTGGGTACCTAGGGTCAGACCCCCCACAGCTGGGTCTTCTTTGCACAAAGTTATTGGGGTTCATCACATACCTTGATTCATCTCTGATGTGAATTCATCTCAGGACTTGTCCAGATTGAATTTGAGAGTTTTCTGCAGGGGTTAGTCCAACAAAATAACCAATATCTACTAAAGCATATTCTTGGTCAAGCAATTTTACCTAAGCACCATGTTTAATTTAAAAAGCCTTTGAAAGTAAGATCAGCACTCCTAAACTAAACACCATGCTTAATTTAAAAGATGTATGAAGATACTCCAAACCCAAGCATATAGCAAATAAAAGTAGCATGAAAGTATTAAAGAGATTTATTCAAATAGAGATGAAAGAGCACGATCATGGTGAGTAATATTATTATATTTTTTCGATAAAGATGCAAACGACATGGATGTATGTAAGGAACTGAGCATGCTGTGGATTTGACATGAGAAAATTTAAACTAAGCGGAGTGAATGCATGGATTATCCAAAGTAAACGTGCAGTGGAATGCAAAAATTAAAAGATAACTACTCATCAAGTTTAAAGTCTGTGAATAAGACTATCTCACCTTTTTATCATACTTAACATGACTCACATGATGGAATTTGTGAGTAGTGCAGCATCTATGTTCGTCACTTGAGATGTGATTCAAATTCTTGTGACGTCGACCATTTTCTCCAATCTACACATGGTTAGAATGATATATATATATATATATGTCTATACAAATCTGTGAGATGGCAGGGTACCAGTGTTGATGGATCTTGAGTGTCCAGGCACCCTGGGTTCTTCAATGTTTTTCTTCTTTTCTTGTGGAAGCTTGCCGAAAGGTCAAAACGGCATCTATTGTCATGTCTATTTATAATATAACAGAACAGGGGTAATCCTACTAAAGCTAGTGGTATGTTAATAATCTAAATCTTTACGCCAATTGTTTCCCCGGCAACGGCGCCAGAAATGCTTGCTGACATTTGTGAGTGTAAATATAAAATCAAAGATTTTGCAAGCACATAGTACACCATTGTAGCATTTCACTAGGAGTATTATAGGTATCGTCATTTATATTTTACCATAGGAAAACAATGGAGTAAAGATTTATTGGGTAACAAAGGAATATCTAACAGTCAACATACCAGCATGGCTAGAGCAGGGGTGAATGTAATGATAGGAATTAAGCATAATGACACTCAAGGGATAGACCATTAATGATAGATGTAATAACTTGAGTGTATAGTGGGTGAGGTAGATTCCTATGGTATTCTTACTACAAGTATATGTACTTAGTGATAGCAAAAGGTTAACTCCATGTTCATGCATAAGGGACATTACTAAGGAAAAGCACAAACAGAGTATGCTATTCCGTGTAACCGGGTCCTGCTGGCCTACAAACGGGAGATGGACTATAAAGGACTCAACAAGGCTGTCACCCTTGTGATACCACTGATCTGGAATGCAAGGTGCATCCACAGGCAAACCATGTATAAGCACCACGCTTACACATGGTCAGCCACTCAATCCCAATTAATTAAAGCTAGGTCGATCGCTATACGATCCTATGCATGAATAATAAGATAACTTAAACTACTTCTAAGCATATAAACATCATAAGAATAACCTTGTAAATAAGAATATAACATGAAGCATTGAAGTCTCATAGGATATGGAAGTATAGATACAATGGCTTACCAAGCCTCCGAAACTAGATCCGAAATCTGGACGTGAGTCCACTCGACCCTAACTCTCGAAATACTAATCTACTACATTGGAGAGTCGAGACCTAAGCCTCCTGGTGTGTCTTAATATTGATCTTTGATGGATTTCTCTGGAGATTGGAGATTGGAGATTGGAGAGATGCCCTTCTGGAGGAGGTAGGAGGGTCCTTTTATAGGGGGTACTAGGAGTCCTGTGGGCCCATGAATCCATGGCAATGTCAAATCTGGACTCTTGATTCGAACCGACCTTGATCCACGGCGGAGATTGAACCTTAGAGGCGGTGGGAAACCGTCATACAAAAGAGGGGCTGCTAGGTGGGCCCCATAGGCCGATCAGCCTACAGGTGGGGCCGGCCGGCCTCCCCCTGTGACAGGTGGCCCTCCCCCTCTAGTGGCGGTGTCTGAACTCCATCTTGAGTCGACTTTCACAGGTTTCACGGGTTGAATCACTTATTGATGTCGGTTTACCTATTTGGAGTGTATAACAGTGGTCCCAGGATTTGTTTTTTGGATAAATCCTCCTACATTCACATATTCACCAAAACTTGTGAAATTCATTAGTTTAAACCCCATATACCTATGTTTGGTGATAGAATTAAGTATATATGTAGGATATGTTGATGGTTTATGATTGACATTAGCAACGGTCAACATAACACCATGCATGTCTTAACTTGGTTGAACTTGACTGAGTAGAAGTTTAAGTTTTGCTTCCATCTCAGATTGAGTCTTCTTCATCTCCTCTCGCCATAATCCTTGCCTGCTCAGATTCTTGCACCTTCTTTGATAAATCAGCCACCGTACTTGCACCTTCTTTGATAAATCAGCCACCGTACATGAACTTCAGCATTTGTCCTTTTCTCTGCTTCTAGTTCTATCTCGGTGTTCTGCTCACTGGATCTAGGTCGGGCATTCTGGAACCCCACATTCTGCAAGAACTGATTCTTCTTGGTGTTCTCAGCAAGCACATCACCAACAACCTGAGCTGCAGACTTCAGCTTTTCACCTTCTGTTCTTGTAGACAGCTTGTTTTCCATTTGAGTCTAGCAAGCAAGTAGCAAACATGGTTGATGATGAGAGAATTAAAAATAAGTATTACAAAGAGACAAGTCTGAAAGTTATCTTACAATAGCCTCCTATACAGTAGGGGTGTAGCATTTTTTCTTGCTGTAGTGGAACTCCTTGAACAAATCAAATGCATTAGGTTCTTCATCATTGTATTTGTCTCCCTGAAAACAACATTTATATGCATCAGGTCCAGCAGCATGAATCTGGGGTTACAGGGTTACAAAAACCAGGACAACTACTGTTCAACTTAAAAAATGATGAATCTGGACAGCTACTGTTCAACTAAAAATATGATGAATCTGGACAGCTACTGTTCAACTAAAAATCTAGACAGCTATTGTTCAACTAAAAATCTAGATAGCTAATGTTTTTAGATGATGTCATGTCAGCACAGCAATTTTCTTTGCCAGGTCCTAGTTTACTGCAGCAGTAGCATGAACATTAGCTGTAGGTGTGCTACTACTGCATGAAGCACACCTGCAGCTAGCGTTCATCTGAAAAAATAAGTAGCAACAGCTACAGCAAGCTATGCAACTAGAATGCATACGAGTATAGGACCATGCTGCAAGTATAGTGGTAAACTAAAAGTAAAATTATCATCTGTACATGCCGAATCGAAATATTTGCTTCTACCAAATTTTCAACAACAACAACAAAGCCTTTAAATTCCAAATAAGTTGGGGTAGGCTAGAGTTGAAACCCAGCAGAAACAATCAAGGTTCAGGCACGTGAATAGCTGTTTTCCAAGCACTCATATTTAATGCTAAGTCTTTGGGTACATTCCATCCTTTCAAGTCTCCTTTTATTACCTCTATCCAAGTCAACTTCAGTCTTCCTCTGCCTCTCTTCACGACTGCGTTCGGCTGGTGGAAATTTCAGCCGAATTCACTGTTCACGGCTAAAATTCACTGTTCACGCTCTCACAGATTCATCCAGATTTCTCCAAATTCCTCCAAACGAACAGGCCCACGTTACTATCCTGGCTTAGGATTCCACTACATACCTGTGCCTCTAGAGTAGCATTTTTACAAACACAATTTTCTATAAAATAGCAGCAGTAGCATTTACAATAACATGCAGCAGCATGTTACAAACAACTTAATGCAGTGGCGTAGCCACAGGATATGCCGGGTATGCACCGGCATACCCTGCAAACCTGGCCAGCAGTAGTATATATACTATTATATTGTATATACGATGTATTTGTTAAAAAGGAAAAAACATACGTGGACACCATCGCGTGATGACGGGAGGCCCATATGATGCACTAACGTGGCCCATGTGGCAAGGGAACTCCAATTCTCTAAAGTCCAAACGTCCGGTATGTAGCGCTCCGTATACGACCTTTCGAATTTCCTAATTTAATCTCGATCAAACCGGGAGCCACGGAGGAACACGTGCGTCGCCCCGGCCGGCCACGGCCCCTGGTGCCCTCCCGCCCTCCGCCATGCTCTAAATGCTGGATCGGAGGATCGCCATCTAATTTCCACGTCCTGTCTGCAGAATATACAGTTGCGCCAGTCAGGATTTATCGTCTTGATTCACTATTTTGGTTAGGTAAATTTTAATCTTTGCTCTTCGTGTTTTTTAGAAAATTATTTTATACATTCATAGCTATTTGGTAACATTTATAGCCAGTTGAACCTTCTAATCCTCCACCTGATCAGGTTGAACTAGTGGTGGAAGATCGGTGGTTGATCTGGTTGATGAAGGAGATACAGTAAGACATTCATATTTCTTGGAAAGCGTCGAATAAAACAGTCTGAAAAAATAGCATTGTAAGCCTCTGGTACTCTTTTATGCCTATATTTAAACTATCAGTATGGCTTTTGAACTATTTATATTGTATCTAGTAGATGATTTCAACTTAATCCTTGAATTTAAGCTTTATCATGTTACTTAGTGTATGTATACCAAATCACATTGTAAAATTTACAATTGTTACTGAATTGCTAAAATGGATTTACCAAATTGTATATGAAATTTTTTTTAGCGGCATACCTAAAGTTTAAATCCTAGATTCGCCACTGACTTAATATGATGTACAATAGCAGCAGCAGCTTAATATGGTCATCACAAGAGCAGCAGCATGTTAAAAACACAATATTCTGTAAAATTTCCCTTACATCAGAGCAGCAGCATGAGAAGTAGTTGTGTTCCCACATAAATCAATACAACTCAAATTCCCAAGATTATGTAAAGTGACAAATATTTCAGCAGTTTGAAAATTATTGATGAGCTTCATATAGGAAGCTTTATTTCCCCCCCTTAAACATGCTTAAGTAATAGTTGCATACATTTATTTATATGGTGTTTAATATGGCCCACTTATCAAATTTTCAACATGAACCATGTAGGCACGGGATCCGGTTGTTTGATGGTACTTAACATTCCCTTGGTTGTCTTTATCCTTTTGACACATCTCCTACAACAGACAAAAATACATGTAAGGTTGGTGATAGATTAGCATGTACAAGGCATCAATCTAGTTTTTCAGAGAAAACGTAGCATCTTTTTGGGACTCTTCCATGATTCTAAAAGTTGAATCCACTGTTCATTAGTCATGCATTTGAGAGAAGTTTTTGTAACCAAATGTAGTGGAAAAGGATCAAAGTGCTAGTAATGACTTCTGAAATGAGCCTATCTTCTGAACTGATTGAGTCATTTCATGAATCTTGTAATGACTCATGAATGCAAGTGCTAGTTTTGGCATGTCAAGAACTACCTAGCTATGAAATTTTTGCATCCACCAGTGAACCAAAACTTGAAAAAATCTGAGCAACCATTGGTCAGTTTGGCACTGAACTAAAACTAAACAGAAGTTATACATAAATTCCATAGCTGAACATGGTCTCAAATACAAATTGAAGCTATCTGAGGTCTCAAATAGCAGAACATGGTCTCACATAGCAGAACATGGTCTCAAATACAAACATGGTCTAAACTTCAAATAGGGTATCCATAGCTGAACATGGTCTCAAATACATATTGAGCCTTACAACATAATATTAAAACATAAAATTACAACAGATCCTTGTTAAGAGTTCTGCTACACAATTCCTAAAAAACTTCCACAACTCAGCTATTACTTTCATAAATATCCTTGTCCAGAAATCCTCTCATGGCAGCTAGCAAAATTCTTTGCAAGAGAATGTGACAATCATGTGTTTTTAGCCGTTGTACCATTGCTCCCTCATCATTTAAACATCTTGAGATGTTGGAAGCAAATCCATCTGGAATAAACCACAAAAAGCCTTCTTCTGTTCAGTGGACAAGGTATATCTAGCATCTCATATGAATCTCCATCCTCTCTAAATTGCAGCTCCTTTTTAATTCCCAAATCTTTCAAATCAAGCCTAGCTTTATGTAACACCCCGGGTGTTTAAGTATTAAAAAAACTGGACATATCATCATATGCATTGCAAGGCATTGGTCATATTGCAAACTTTGATATGCATTCACTAAAACAAGTTTACAATTATGTTATAAGTATTGCTTGGTTTGTTTGAATCAAGTTCGAAATCTTTGTATTGATTTGAAATTCCGAAAACCCTGATTTTCAATATTTAAATCCTACCATGAAAACCCATTTCAAAATTGAAGCACATTTTGGGGTTGAGTCTAAAAGCAAAGTTGTAGAGCTTGTTGAGTTGTACAAAGTTTGTTTTTGGAGTTTTTCAAGTTGTTTAGTAAAATTTGAAGTTATTTAAAAAGGCGAAATTCCTTAAATGTCCCCTATTTGAATTCAAAAGTTCATTTCAAAATGTAGACTGAATTAGGGGTTGGTTATAAAAGCAAAGTTGTAGAACTTTTGATTTTGAACAACTTTTATTTTTGGAGATTTTTGAGTTGTTACAAAAATTTGGGAGTAATTTGAGTTTCAAACTGGATGACAATTCTGTAATTTCGATGAACAGTGTTCACCGCTCTTGCTACACCGCCGGCAACCTTCGGTTTGCTTCCAGGCGCGGTCGTGGCCGTCTTTAGCATCGTGCTGGTGCGGTGAAGGCCACTGCGTAGCTTCCTTGAGCTTCTGAGCCGCTCTATTTAGCCTTGGCCGTCGCCGTTTGCCCCCGCTCTCTTGCTCTGTTTTCCCGACACCACGGCCATAACTCCAATGAGCTCTCACCGTCACTTTAGCGCACTCCAGCCGCTGCAAAGCTTGTCATAGCTCCGCCTACTCCTTGCGCACCCAACCAACCTGCTTTTGTCACTTGTCTTCACCAGAAACTCGCAGTGCGCGCTCTTCTTCCTCGCGGCCGGCAACCTCACCCGCGATCCCGTTTCGTCGTGGTCAGCGCGTTGCAGTGAGTCTCTATCCTTGCCGAGCCGTGATTCAGTTTCGCCACGATGCCGTGGTGCTTTGTACCTTGATGCTTGATCAAATTGTCCACTACACCCACCGGAGCGTCACTATCGCCGTTGCTTGCTCTGCCGTGACCGCTGTGTCCATCGAACTGTGTCTCCAGTGCAACTCCGGCCTTGTGCTCTACTCAGTCGCGTTTGGGGTGAGCTGCTGATGCTTCCTAGGCCATCTGTTTAAGCTTTACAAGTCTCACGTCGCTAGCGTAGTGTAGCCGCACCGTCGTGGCCGCCATGGCCAGCGTAGTGCTCGGTCCAGTCTGTAGCTGGTCCAGCTTGTGCCCCAAATCGATGCGCCTAGTCGAGGGTAGTGTTTTGGTACCTTGGTCGTCACCGTTGGTCTCGTCGTCGGCGAGATATCACCGGTCAGCGCGCGTGTCGCCGGAGTCAAAGCCTGAGGTTGAAGATGACATGTGGGGTCGGGATGTCAGCGACTGTGTAGTTCAAAATGGATTTTTCTATTTTCAGCAATGAATGAATAGTATCTGTTTTTGTTATTTTTGTGTAGATTTATTTAGAGCTCCAAAAATTATGAAAATTTTTGTGTGAACTCTTTGTGATGTATATTATTTAGGAAAAATATGAAATGTTGTTTTTCAGTAATTTTTGAATGTGATAAAAATTGCTCAATTAATTAATAAATGAGTTTCCAGGATTTTTCTAGGTTTATTTATGTATCCAAAAATTATGAAAATTGTTTTGTCACTTAGTTATCATGTGATGAACATTTAAAAAAATTTTGAGGCCAATTGCAACAAGTTGATTTATTTCATAATTCTTAATTAATTAATTAATTCATAAAAGCAAATAGTAACCTTTAGTGATTTAGGTTTTGTTTGAGTTTTTGATTAAGTGATGTCCTTGGGTCATTAGTTGGTGATGATCCTTGGCAATTGATGTGAGTGTTGCGATAATGGTTTAGTTAGTTTAACTTGTAACTGTACCGTGAAGGAAAGTTGTATTCAAGTTGTTAATTTTGCATCCATCATCGAGCATCATGTTTCGTATTCCGCATCATGTTGAACATGGCATTGTTACTTCATGTAGTGAACGAAGGTGAGCACGTGGTAGTTAATCAAGTGGTTGAGGAGGTTGATCCGTCTGTGGAGGTTGGTGTCGATATCGGTAGAACGACTCCGGACCCAGACTTTTCCGTCAACGAAGGCAAGCCCCGGATGCATACAACCCTACCTTGTATTTTACAAATTGATTTCGCTTTTGCTTCTTTTTAATGCATTCAGTGATTAGAAGCCAAGTGAAAACCGAATTGGTACATTACCAACCTTGTTATTCCATATTTACCATATTACCAGTTTTAAATTTGTATATACCTAGTTTTGCTTAGCTATGCTTAGAACGATGAAAGTCGGGTGATTACCTATCACCTACAAGTTTTAAATTGAACTTTGGTTACTTATGTTATCATGTGATATGGGAATGTGGAGTAATAAATCTAGACCGGGCGGACTCGGTGTGTGTGAGCCACAAGACATGGAGGTCTTGTGAGCGGGTTCTTTCCGCTTGTGTCGATTAAGGTCCGTACCGTTGTTGAATTGCATGAGGTGAGACTTTGTAGTACTAACCACATACTCCGGTAAGCCTTAACTTGGCGATTCTATTACGAGAATGGCTACTCGCGCACTGGGAGTGGAGAGATGGCGGGAATAGCGTGTACCCACGTGGCAATGGGCTGGATTGGTGGAGTACTGTATTCTCGGGTGGCGTGGACCCGTTCTTGTTTTAGAAGATCCGAGGGTAGGTTGATATATGTAAGTTGGGGACCTGCATATGTCGTGTGGTCTGGAATTCCCAGCTAGGTTTTTAATCGGTTCGAATCGTCGTTGCTCCTCGGTTATGGAGACTCAACTCACTGTTCATCATTGTAGTAATAAATAACTGGAACTTGAGGATGGTCTATGAAGGTGTTGGTTATGAAGTTTCATGATCTCATTAGGGATCTTGTCAGCTTTGTATATGATCTTATGAAGTTTTAAATGTTGATATAAAGAATTTTATTAAAAAGTTTTTACGCAAAAGAACTTTGATTATTGCTAAAGCCATACCTTGAATCCCCTCAGCCTGCATTC